CCAAAACCCCAAAACCCCAAAACCCCAAAACCCCAAAACCCCAAAACCCCGAGAGGATTGAAAATAGAAAACTAATAAGAATATAAATTATTTACAAAAATAATGTCATCTGATAACCTCCAGACCAGCTTTATGCAACGAAACTAGTATTCACAAAGAACCTCTTCACAAGGAAATAGAAATCTTGCAAGTATTCAGTCAAATGGGCAAACATCTTCATTAGGGACAAACAATCCAAATACAATGAGCGGAAATAGCCTTCAATCAATCCCAGTTCTTACCCTCCAAAACCTTGGAGCTAAGGAAGAAAATGAAAATATTCAAAGGTTAAGAGGATTGAAAGTAGGTATTGATAAAGTGAAGAACAACATTAAGAATTCAAGCAATAAATTCTATGAGACTCTTGATAAATTCAGCAGCTCAAAGAATAAATTCAGACAAGCTTAGGAGTCAGTTGGCAAGGCAATGCAGGAGTAATAACAGTTGCCATAATAATAGTCATCACTGCTTGCAGAAGATGATTCTAAGTTTAAAAGTAGAGTTCTACCAGATATTAAGATTGTAGAGATCAATAGAATGATCTCTGATCCAGAGTTCATTGAGAAGTTCCCAGAAGTAGTTGATGGTCTGATTAATGGAAAGAAGATCAACAAAAGGAGTGGGTATAGCTCAATCGTCAGTCCTTAAAACTCCTCTAACTTTGATTCTCAAAACAAATATGTGAGTCAGACTTCCAGATAAAATAAATCAAAGAGAAATAACCAGTCTATTGACATTAATGATAAATCAGTCATATCTAAAACGAGGGACCTAAGTTTCGCTAAGCTTATTAAGAAGATTTAAGAATCATCAAATGCTTTAAAAGCTAGCAAAAGTGGAAAGTCAATATTCAATGCTACACATGGTAGCATAATAGAGTTTACCTAGAATCAGCAGCTCACTCAAAGCAATCTTAATTCAACTACTAACATACCAATATTTACAAGGGAAGAGTTAAAGAGAGACTTTAACAAGCTATTAAAGCTTAATGGACCTAAATTTTAGTCTAATAATGCTTCTAAAATAACTGATAAATTAAATAAGACAATCAGAACTATGTAAAATACAAGCAATATTTTCGAGTAAAATTCTCACATTATGATGATAACTGAATAAGGGTACGAAGAGGAAACTGCAAATAACAAATCCTATTTTGCTGATGAAGCTGATAAATCCATCATTAACACCTTGAATCTTTCCAAAGAGTTAAACTAATTTCCACCCTTAATGCAGATTTAGAGTAAAACATATGACATTAACATGATTCAGAATCTCTAGCCGCCTATTGGACTCACAGCTAGACTCTCCCCGAGGCAACTTAAGGAAAAATTTAGATTCCCAGAATTTCAAAATAAAATTCTAGAATCTGACTCTCCTTAGATGTAATAAAGAAAAAGAAAAGGTACTTCTATCAGAAGATCATAGAGATCAATTACACTATCACAGAATGCTCAAACTAAATTGGCTTCTCTCTAAGTTTAGCACTCAGCTAATTCAAAATAGAAACAGGAAGACAGCAATTACTACCACAACGCGTAGGTACCTTTTGAGAAAAAAAATTCTGGCGTAAAATATTAGGTAATCAAAGATGCAGCCACTCCTACTCTTCAACTTCAAAACATTCACAGTTCTGTTAAAACATCTCATGGCATAATTGGTGATAATTCAGTAACACTTAATCTACAGAGTATCAATGCTAAATCAACTTTAGGCGTTAATACCAGTTCTACAGTTAAAGCAGCAGAAATGTAATATTATTTGCACGCGAATACTATGAAGGAGTTACCTGATGTTGTGAAGTATTGCAGAAAAGAAAATATAGCATTTACTGACTCAGAGAAGATGCATTATGGCATCAGTATGTGCAAGAAAAATCATAGAATGTATGCCAACTGTCTTAAGTAATGCTTTTAAAGTTCTCACACAGACGATCTACAAACAGCTATCAAGTAACTTGGCAGACTTGAAAATGTGATTACAAGGCAGTAGTAGACCGATCAATAATAATCATTGGTAAATAGTGTTCAAGACTTGCAATAGTATGCATAGGAAATTAAGCAAAGGAAGCAATTTCTTAAGGATTAGTAGTTAAGAGAAAGTAATCAGAGAAAACTAATAAATGACTTGCAGAATAAAATAGATGATCCCAGTTCAAATGAAAATTTTCCACAATCAATCAAATAGTAGCTGAGGACTGGTTTAAGGAATAAAATCGAAAAGGCTAAGTTAGATACTATTTAGAAGAAAAAAGGGAATATGACCCAAAGATTCTCAGCCAAATATGACATTCTTGAAAAAACATAAAGGAAAATGGAAAGATCAAAGAATAAACTTTCGAAAGATCTACTTAAAGTCTTATAGAAAGTTGAAATCGATAGACCTTAAATGATCTAAGACAAAGCTAATTTAATCCTACGAGACTAAGATAAAATGCTGTAACCTAAGTTTTCTCCAAAGAGGAATGAGCCTAATTTATCAACTATAAATAATGATAATACTAATGATACGATAAATTAGTCTAAAATCTAGAATGCATCTAATAGCAGAAGAGTGGACTAATCAGAAATTCTTCAATAGCTCAGAAGGAAAAATAAGAGAAAAATTGATATTTAGAGAAGTTCTTATTTTATGCTTTTGGACTATATTAAACTGAGAAGCAGAAATGATAGAGACTGCAGAGTAAGTGATGATGAGAGAAAGATATTTGATACTTTCAAAGTGATTTTCGATGGTGCATGGATCATCTAAAGTGAAACTGAACTAATGAATATCTTAAATGAGATAGACATTATCACTAATTTAGACGAACAACTATATTTCTTCCTTTGGTACATCTTTGAATCACTTTCATTTGACACTGCTATACTTGATAGATGGCTTCAAAATGAGGCATAAATTGATCTTTCTTTTGCAAAGCAAAGGAAATATCTGATAAATTATATGATTTAAGAGCAGTCTTAATATTAAGGAAAGAATTAAATCAAAATGTTCAATGCCAACATGAGTACTGAAGGTAGTCAACTAAGATTGCAAGAGGATTTTTCATAGCTTTCCTCAAAAGACAAAAAGGACTTATCTCCAGTTAAGCGTAATATTCAGGAGATCCTTCTCAAAACTATCACTTCAAGCAGCCATGGAAGAAAAAGATCATGCTTTTGAATTAATTTAACTTTTCAATTTATGAGATAAACCACATTGATCTAGGGAATTTCCTGATAAGCTATTTTAATTGGTTGAATATAGTTTAATATTTAATGTTTCCAAATTGATCTTAATATTTAAAGATAAATACTTAATTATTAAAGTGATTTCAGAGAATTAGAGTTAACTTGTAAATATGTCAGAGGAATTCAAAAACTAATCAACTTACTAGGTCCCTGCCTAAAATTTTAGCCATTCTAAGAGTTTTAATGTTGGAGCTCAAGAATTCAATCCTAAAAAGCTAGGCAAACAAGCTAGTAAGTTAGAGTTTCAATTCTCTGATAACCCAGAGATATCAAGTTAAAATATCTAAGATCTTATTCTTCTAGGTATAAATCAGAATGGCGATATAGGAAGCTAATGGGTACCACAGAAAAAAGATGCAAAAAAACAATGGAAAAGACAAGATCAACAAATGGATAACATAATTCAAACTAATAATAAGAGTAAGAGCTAATAGTTTTATCAAACAAAAGCAGATAAAAAGGCTAGACCTAATATTGTGAAGGCTAATTATGATAACCCAGATTATGAGCACATGGACGAGATAAAATCGGTCCAAAAGTAAATGTCTCTTTAAAATTAGTCTGCAAACAGCTTACTTGGATTCACTTATCAAGAAGATGATTACAATAATGGGCAATCTTATTCTAATTCATACAAAGGATTCAAAGGAAAAAGAAGAGGCGGGAAATAGAATTACAGGCCGTAAAAAGATTACAATATTCAATCGGCTTTTAAGTTCATAGTTCGCAGAGGAAAAGATTACACTCTGAATGTTTATGACCCAAATGAGATAATTGATTGGAAAGATGTTACCACTGTGATGTTTAACATGTCTAATGCAGATGATGTATAATGCCCAATATGCTTGGAGAATCTAACACAAATGATAGCACCTAAGATCACGAAATGTGGACACATATTCTGCTGGCCTTGTGTCCTATAATATTTAGCTTATGAAAAGCAATATAACTGGAAGAGATGTCCTCTATGTAATGAGTCTATTTAGAAAAATGAGCTAAAACAAGTAAAAGTTACCTAAAGTGTATATTACAAAGAAGGAAGCATCATTAAATTCAATTTGATGATCAGAAATAAAGCAAACATTATAGTTTCAGATAAGTAAAAGCAATCTCCCAAATTGAATTAGTTTGATGGAGACTAAAGTGATAAAAAGCACACATCAAAAGTAAAACTCCCAACATAAAAATTTCCATCATAAAAATCTGAGGAATTTCATGGATGCAGAGTGTTGATTAGTGATAGGCAAGAAGAGAAAAATGATTATGAAAGAGATTTGAAGATATTAATGGAAGATTTTAAATTAATGGAGAGTTCAAATGAATATTAGAAAATACCTTACATTAATGAAGCAATAGAGCATTGTCATAAAGAAATCAATAAATTGAATGATACAAACTATCAAGACTAGATATAAGAAGAACCTATAGATTTTTAAGAAAAGAAAAGGATTCATAATAAAAAGCAAACACTCAAAAACAAGCTAAGTCAGCCAGATGAAATTGAAGAAAATGATTAGGATTTTTATTATTTCTATCAGAGTTCTACTGGAGAGAATCTATTTTTGCATCCATTATGCTACAATATTCTGTATCAATCTTATGAAAAGTATGATGATTTCCCAAAACAAATTGAAGCTTAAGTACTTGAAGTAAATCAAGGGATCGCAGATTAAGATGATCCAGATTTTAAGAAGTACTAAGATCTAAATCACTTGCCAGATGGTTCTCCATATGGCTTTGTTGAAGTCGATATGAGTTCTCTTGTTAGTGAGTCTATTTATAGAGAATTCGAAAAAGACATTTCCTATAGAGAGCGTCATAGAAAGAGAAAATAGCAGAGAGAGGAAAAATATGCAGGAAAAGTGGAAAGAATACAAGAAGAAAAATTTGAGTAGATAAAGAGATAAGCTATAAATTCAGTCAATACAGAATCTTTCTTTCTGGTGCCCGGAGTAGTTAGAAACTACGAACCGAGATCAAGTTAGGATGAGGAATCTAAGCAATCCGAAGAAGAAATTAAGAAAGAATAGGAATAGGAGGCTGAGTAGGTATAAAATATGACAAATGATTAGAAATTGTGGAAAGAATTTGGATCTCTACTAGTGAAAGACAAGAGAACTATTCAATCTATAAGAAAAGATAACTTTATAGGAATTGAAGTAAAGAATTTCGCAAAGAAAGCAGTTGAAGATTTACATGGAAAAGAGTAAGATGAATTCGATTGCAAGGATGACGGTTTTGGGTTTGCAAGTTCATCAATTACTGTCATTGAAGGAAAGGGACCAAAGAAAAGAAAAAGAGGAGGCAGAAAATGATGATCCCTATAAATTAGTGGATTCATCATTAAGATGTAATGAATAGTGTATATCTCCTCTATATATTTGATTCTCTACATTCATGCTACGGTATAGGGTTGTAATATTAAATTGAGTCTATAATAAGGTTCATTTCCTAATATTTACATATCCTATAAAATTGTATACATACTTTAAATTTTCTCAAATATTTTCACAATTAATTTACAGTCAATGTAATATGGGGTTTTGGGGTTTTGGGGTTTTGGGGT